TGCGATTTTAATTTTTCTCTCTGACGTCAGAATTTTTTTTAAAGGACTTCGAGATTTCTAGGATATGATTGAATAAAAAAATAATTTAAAAGATATGGTGCATTGTAGAGTAACAATATGGGTATCAATTAAAAGAAAAAATTCTGTAGTAAGATTTAATTTTTTGGTGCACCACACATAGGGACGAATCGACAATATAGTTTACTCCTTATGTATTTGAATTAGGGATTCATCATTGATTTCGAATATTAAACTAAATTTTCAGAATTCACAATGGCGGATCCAATATGGCGGATGATTTCTTAAAAAATTTCTATATTGTTATGAAGCTTGGTATCCAAAGATTTTCGCCGTCACTGATTTCGAAATTCATATTCAGTTTTCAAAAATCAAAATGGCGGATCCAATATGGCGGACGATTTCTTCAAAAATTTATAAATTTTTATGAAGCTTGGTATTTACTCCATGTGTATTTGACAGATTTCAATGAAATTGGTAAGGGGTTTTCGTCATCACTGAATTTGAATATTAAATTAAATTTCCAAAACTCCAAATGGCGGATCCAACATGGCGGACGATTTATTAAAAAATGTATAGATTGTCACTGATTTCGAAATTGATATATTTTCAAAAATTCAAAATGGCGATTCAAATACGGCGCGCGTCCCGAACAATAGGCGTTTTACTTCTAACGGAATGCATTACCTTTAGCACCATTTGAACCCATTTTGAATTGAAATTTTAATTTAAATTTCGTAATCAAAGATAACGAGGATCTCTGAATATCAAGTTTCATAACAAACTATAACTAAAAAAAGTGGTCCGCCATATTGGATCCACCACTTCGATTTTTGAAAATATAATATCAATTTCGAAACCTGTTGCGACGAAAATCTCTGAATACCAAGCTACATAACAATCTATACATTTTTTAAGATATCTTTCGCCATATTGCACACGCCATTTTGAATTTTAAAAATTTGATATCAATTTCGAAATCATTGACAACGAAAACCCCTGGATACAAAACTTCATTTAAATCTGTCAAATACATATGGAGTAAACACTTTTTTGTCTTCCTATTTTTTCAATTCGTTCAAATAAACGACTCAATAAAAAGATGCTCTATTTAATGAAGGGGGGACGAGTTCGTGATATTTTTACATTGGCAATTTGTTGGACCTTCGAACTGTTAAAGAGAAATTACTGTATTCGGAACTTTTTTTACAACTCTAACTAATACAAAAATTTCAAAATTTGTTCAATAAAAAGCAAATTATAAAATAGTTATTATACTCATTTTACAAACAACTACATATATTATTAACAAAAATCGCAAAATAAATTACATACCTCACGCCTCATTTTCCATGTTGACAAAACTATTAGTTGTTATCATATATGTATGTAATACTTCTATATTGGTAGTAAGCTAACATCTCAATGTGTAAGCATTCCGAAATCAAAGCGAGACAGTCTAGTACTGTTTTTGTCAATATATTGTGTACTTGAGTGCCGTTTTTGTAAATGTGTCGTGTACATGTTTATTTATAAACGTATGTGTTCCTTTTCTTTCGTACGTGTTTATTGATATATCTGTACTGTAGTGTTTTCGGACGGTACTAGCTCTTACTGCCAATTTAGGAGTATTACATATATGGTTGTTATTAAGAATCAGTCAGTGTCTCTTTCCCGGTAAAAAAGTTTGAGAGAAAAAAATACACTTTATGAGAAATTGAATTAAAAAAAATTTGCATTTTTTGTTTATTGTTAAATAAAAAATTTTAAAAAGTTAAAATCAATAATTATATCATTCTATCTTGAAGTGACAAGAATTACTGACATTTGAGTAAAAACTTTGTTGGAATCTATTAAATTTTGACAAAGTTATGGGCATTTAAAAAAAAATTCTCACTGTCAATTCGAATTATCGATTTTTGCCTGAAAAACAAAATCGCGTTTAATTCGGCCGAAAATTTTTTCCCTTTATTTGGACCAACAAACAATATATTTGAATTTGGTCGAAATTAAAAATCATTCTCGTACCTGACCGGCTGTCTGGAAACGGAAAGCATTCTTGGAAATTTCCAATATTTATTTAAAAAATATACATACGTCAAGGACTAATATGTAAACTACCACATCCTCGAATTTCGTCCTTCTAACTTTATTAGTTTGAGAAAAACAAAATTTTACACTTCTCTTTATAAGATATTGATAGTTACAATATACATAAATGAAGATACTGCTCAAGTAGTGGTGTATAACTTGGTGTAAATTTGTGAATTTTATTACAATTAATCACATTCGTACTAAAATTCGTAAATTTACACCAGGTCATAAACCAGTGTGCTACTTGAGTAGAATAATTACACTGTAGAGCACTCAGCAGGGTATTGGACCAAATCATTTTTTTAAAGAGATGAGTCATAGGTAAAAAAGTAATTTCTTCGTTTTTCGAAGTTAGCCTCCGAAATTGAGATATGGGTCTTCGAAGTTCGAAATAGAACCTTTGGTAAAAAATTATATCTAAAAAAATAGACGTAGTCAGCCTTTTGCTTTTATTTAAATGGTATATAAATTTTTTGTGCAAACTTTTATTACAGGTGCTATAACGGGTCAAAGGTTGGGTATTCGAAAAATTAAAAACCTTACATTTCAAACAATTTTGAACTGATTCTTAAAAAAATGGCATCGTTGTAAACATGATTAAACACCCTTTCTTCTGATATGCATATTTGTATACTTTGAATGTAAAAATTTATTATAAAAAAGATATATTTTAGGCAAAAAAATTACCAACCAATTTTTAAAAAAATGTATATCGTTGTAAACTCAACCAAACCTTCTTTCTTCTGGTATGCGTATTTGTATACTTCGTATATAAAACTTTGAGACAAATACTTAAAAGAAAAATACCTTTTTTTTATAAAAAAAAAATTACAAAAAAATTACTAACCGATTTTTAAAAAGCTATCGTTTTAAAATCGATTAAACCCCCTTTCTTCTCGTATGCATATTTGTATATTTCGTACATAAAAATTTAAGAAAAACCGCTTAAAAGAAAAAAATTCTTTTTTTTATAAAAATAAAATTATTTTAAACAAAAAAATATCAAACGATTTAATAAAAAAGGGTGTCGTTGTAAAAGATACCAGAAAACTTATACTTTCTTAAACCCAAAAACTTCTGTTTATAAACACAAAAAAAAAATATTTAAAACATTTTTTCCCTCTATATAAACTCCAGCCCCCCTAGGTGAAAGGCTGGCTACGCCCTTGTATACAAAACAATTAAAGTAGTTAAACCGTACATTATACGGTCTGTTTGTTCTTTTAGAGCGCATACATAATAATGATTCCAGTATCTTCATTTACATATGTATATTGTAACTATCAATCCTTACTAATATTATAATGTTATATAAACTAGTGTTTGCCCAGCGGCTGAAATTCAACCGCTAAAATTAGGGATAGTTTATGTGAGTTGAGTTGAGCTGAAATAACAATAGTTGGAATGGGTTAAGTGGAGGGGAGTTTAGCTTAGTACTTAGCATGACATACCATAACATAAGATTAAATAACATAACATATGTAGCATAACACACCACAATATAACATCGCACATTCTTCAGTTGTATTTCCTTTTTATTCCTATCACTTTCTTCCTCCTTATATTTGTCTATATGTTTATGTTTATATTTATATATTCGCCTTCATGTTCATGTTCAAGTTCATGTTTATGTTCAAGTTCATGTTCATGTTCATGTTCATGTTCATCTTCATATTCGCCTTCGTCTTCATCTTTATCTTTTCCTGTATCCTGATCTATATCTTCATTCTTTTCTTCGTTTACGTATTCACCCCCATCATTGTTATTAGGTTAGGTAGTTAAATTTTCCTTCCTCTTTGTCTTTATATTTATTACTTTTATTCTTATCTTAGCCCTTATCCCTTTCTTCCTCTACATATTCAACTTTACCTTCTTCCTTGCATCAATCTTATATTTTAGACAGACGGAGAAAATTAATTAGAATTAATAAGCATAAATGCAAATTAAAATTGTACCCTTACAGTAATGCGGATAAGCCAGCCCCAAGGTCGCGGGTTCGAGTCCCACGGCCAGTAGATTTTTTTTATTTCTTTTTCATTCTTTTTTTTATAAGTTCTATATGTTTTTTACGTTGCTTTCAGTTAGTTGTTGTTGACTTTTTAATAAAATTCAACTCTAAAAATTAAAATTAAATAATAGTAAAATAAGAAATGTGATATAAAATAAAGCAAATGAAAACAAAATAAACTAAAATTAAATATATAAATAAAATAAAATAAAAAATTATAAAATAAATAATAAAAGTAAAAAATTTTTGGTAATCGCTCCAACCGAAGATCGAACCTGGCAGCTACAGACTTATAGCCCGCAACTCTCACCACTCGGCTACCGCGCACGCGAAACTCGCTTGCTTCGTTTGCTTAGTTGTACAAAAGACAACAACTGGCCGTTTTTACCAGTGTTGTCATCGAAAATTCCCCGGACCCGAGTTAATTCCCAAAAATTTCGTGCATTTGTTCGGCTGCTTATGCTCATTTTAAAGAGGAAAATGCATGAATTAAAGCAAATAAAGGATGGTTATGCAAATAATCGAGCCCGTTTGTCTACCGTATTAATCTTCATAAATCTGATTCCTAAACTGCTGCTTAGCATTTTTTTAATTCAGCATCAATATTAAAGCATGCATTTAGGAGGCATTTCCGCCCCAACCATGTACATGTACGGCATTAGTATTGGTGTCACTATTGAATTAATTTTTTCGCTTTATGTTAAACCAATTTGAAATTTGAAAAGGTGTCTGCACATCAGCAGCAGTTAAAGGGGTGTAAAGAAAATATGATTGCCTATTTGTATATAAGATAAGATACCAAAAACCGAAAAACATATGGAAACATCACTATATTGCAATATATTAAAAATCTGGTTTATTTTGGTTTACTTTACGCCAAATGATATTGTCATTGAGGCCACATCAAGTGGTATCATGTCATGTGGTGAAATTGGGTGTGGTGAGTTGCGCTGTGATGGAATTGGGTGTGGTGAGTTTAGGTGTGGAGGATTTAATTTTGGTGGGTTGAGGTGTGGTGAATTAAGGTGTGGTAAATTTAGGTGTGGTGGATTTAGGTTTGGGGAGTTAAGGTGTGGTGAGTTGAGGCGGGTGAATTAAGTCGTGTTGAAATAAAGCGTGGTGGATTTAAGTGTGGGGAGTTAAGGTGTGGTGAATTAATGTGTGGCGAGCTCAGGTGGAGCAAGTTTTTAAGCAGAGGTGAGGCGAGTTGAGGTGAGTTAAGTTAAGTTAAGGGGTTATGATCTTTATCCTTATCTTCATCTTCATCTTTATCTTTATCTTTATCTTTATCTTTATCTTTATCTTTATCTTTATCTT